ACATTTAAAGGGTTTACAGATTCCTGGTGTGCATCAAAACACAGTAAATCACTTAGGTTTCGTGGGGCCACACTATCCCATAATGCCACTATATATTAATCAGCTGCTTAACAGATACCTCTGCATGAAAGTTGCATTTTGGTGTCTCCATTGTGTACTTACAATTACTGGGGCATGCTGATTGATTCCCATTACTGAAAGTTTCTATCATGTAACATGGATGCAAGAAAATCAGCCCCAACTAAGAGAGAGGAGGTTAATGGGAGGAACATGAGAGAGAATGGTGATAAACTGAACAAGGGTAGGTTCCAACTAGAAAAAGAGTTAAACCAACCAACCAACCAACCAAAAATTACCATGAGACCTGTCCACATCAGGAGAGTTTCCCAGAGAGGCTGCATTTGGAAGGTTGGGCTGGACAAAGCCTGGGGCAAACTAGGCTGAATTCAGTGTTATTTCTGCTCTGAGCCAGAGGCTGGACCAGAGATCTCCTGATGTCCCTTCCAAACTGAACAGTTCTGTGCTTCTGTGAGAAATTGTCAATACCTGGCTTTTGCTATTTAAACACAAATGAGCAGGTTTCCAGATTTCTATTACCAGGAGTTCAACTTTTCGATACAAATAGCCATCTTTTGCAGAAGGTTCGTGAGCTAAAGTCTTCAACAGTGTAATGTTCTCTGTACTCCTACATATCTCTGTACAGCTCTGCAAAGCAGTGTATTTACTACTCCTTCCTGGCTATGCTTTGGCATATCAACAGCAGCATATCCACAGTGGTATGGGAGACTATTGTTATTACATATAACAACAATAAGGTTTTTTCTTCCAATGGCATGTTTACAATGACAGGTAAGTACATCTCCAAACCAGAAGCTCAATCCCTACTATCAAACTTGTACCAAGGGGTGACTTAGTTTCATTCTGCAACTCAGAATTTTTGGTGCACTCAACAGATTAGGCTAGAACAAGCCAGCTGTGCTTGCATCTAAGTCTCATGTTTATCACAAGATGGTCCAGGAGGCCTTGCAACCATCTACTTGACATGATGGACAGTAAGTGGAGTAGGGTGAACTTCAGCAAGCTACTTGGATGGAAAGTTCATGGGTTTCTGTAAGCAGCTTGTTCTCAACCACCCAAGGGCCTGTACTCCCTTGATGAAAAGGTGGAACTGATGTAGATGCTGCATGAACTCCCAGCAAAATGCACAAAGCATGGCTTTTGCAGCAGTTGCTGTGGAGCCATGAAGTAACCACTGAAATCCTCTCCCCATTTTCTTCTATAGTCTGCCAAATTTTTCACTCTAAGTTTAAAGTGCTGACGGGCTGTATTTGGCAGAATAATAGGCAAGCAACACAGGTTGCAATCTAAATATTTGCTTCTGATCACCACTGCCATAATTTTATTGTCTCTGATGAATGAGGATGTGGGTAAATTCCAGCAGGGAGTGTACAATCCACCTCTGGGTTAATAATTACTGATCTGATTTCCAGGTGTCCTACAGCTGAGTACTGTAATTTCATATTGATGTAAGATTTCCAGCTTTCCTTGTGAGTTAATTGTGTAACATTCAAGAAATAGCCATGAAAAGCATGGAAATTCCCAGGTCTTCATTTCCGCTCTTTTGTTCAGAATTCCATTGAAAAGGTGGGTTTGTGTGGACACAGGCAGGACAGGACCAAGCTGAAGTCAACATGTAAAGAAAGAACAGGCTAGTTAGCAAGACCTTGATTCTGACTGCAACAGTACAATGTGTTCGGCAATGAAGGATGCATGAGTATCAGTCTCTTGTCCACTGTGCTTATGAAAAAGCCCTGTCCCAGATGCTAGCAGAACTAATCAGGGTAAAGATATTTCATGTCAGTGGACAAGGATGGCCATGCTGAAGGTGCAACCATTGCCCTCAGTCACTTATTCAGAAAGGTTTTGGCATAATAGCTTTTAAAAGGAGGAAATTTCTGTTGATCCAAAGTAAGTAAATTCTTTGCAGTGCTTGCTGTCTGTGCCTCACAGATATGAATCCGTCTTTTGACATGCAGCGCTGTCAGCACAACCAAAACGGCAAGAAGATACCATAAGAAATACACAGCAAAATGTTATGAAATTATTTTTTCATTCCTCAGGATACTTTTTCCCACTGAATCGACCTACCACTTTTAAAGTGACACTACATTTTTAATGAGTACTTTCTTGCCTTCAGGGCTGCTTTGGACACAGAAAGTCAGGTAAGGATTAAACAGGAGATGGTCCTTGATGTTGACAAAAATGAAAGCTCTCAAATCTGGAATTCACTTGAGCAGCCTGGTGGAGCCAAAGTGATGCACCAAGTCCCCCTTCTGATACTGTGCCAACGTGAGCACAAAAATCAGAAACAGAAACATGACTCAACCCATAGGCACTTTAGGCAGACCACTGCAAATAGACTAGCTAGGACACACAACAGTTACACACAGCCAAAAAGTAGCTGGTCCCTGCAAAGCCCTAGTGCTGTCCCAGTTAAAAACCCAAGGCAGGTTTTTCCCTGAGCCTCTGCTCCGCTCCGCTGCCACCCCCTATGGCTCCAGCAGAAGTGCTGCTCTCTGAGGCCAGCTTTGTGTTGTGTTTGGCAAGCAGCAAGGCCCTGAAAATAATCTCTTGTATTAGCTGAAACCCTCTCATGCCAACTTCGTGATCCCTCTGACATATTTGCTGCCAGCTTTTGGTGTCAGCGTGTTGGCCTGTGCCTCAAAGCAGTTACATTTTTAATGCTGCACAATGCGTACCTTCTCCCTGTGCATCCCTCTCTTGTGGATGAGCAGGACTTGGGGAATTTGGCTGGATCACTGCTTTCCCCAGTAAAGACTGGGGACTGATGGAGAAAATTATCTCTTATCCCCCACAGTGTGTACCAAAATGGCTTGTGGTAAGTCTCATTCTGATTTCTAAAATGCAGGATAACAGTCACTGTCTCTGCTCCTCCAGCCCCACACAAACTCTTTGGGACTGTTAGTTCTCCAAGGCCTTATTTGAACAATTCACTGAAGAACTGGAAGGGATAAGGTGATCTAAAAACACAGTGCAATTCTCCAAAGGAAGGTGATTTGTTTTTATTTTTTACCATATTAAGAGTTAACTTCAGTCCATAGAAAACCAGTATCAAAATATTGAAGAGAATTGAACAGCAATCCTCATAAAAAATAAACTTAAAATCAGCTGAGCATACCTTGAAGTCAAACCAGAGTAAGTGTAAGAAAACAAATGGTCTAATGTCCTCTTGTAATCTTTTTCCAAGGGCCTATTTTCACTCCATCTTTAGGGAAACCAAATCTTTTGCCTAGGTATTAGGGCGTTAACAGAGGGCCAGGGAGGAATCCTGTCACTGGTGTGGACCAGCAAAAAGGCCCTTTAATTGTTGGGAAGTAGAAACTGTTTTCAGTCCTGTGATGGAGAACAATTGCAAGGCAGTTATTGAAACCAGTCTTTGCTTTGACCTGCCCCAGCTTTAGCGACCACAGGGCTGTGTTGTGTGGTGCCAGCCCTTAGTGTGCCAGGTTGTCTTGGACTCTGAGGTACAGAGACGATTGCCAAAAGAACAAGCTTTGTAATAATAAGAGCAAAACTGAAAGCTCAAATGGATGAAAACATCACAACAGAGTTAAATAGAAGGTGGCCTCAGCTATGGCACAAAGCTGTGAGGCTTTGTATGGCTTCAGACCACTGTCCATTGGACGTGCACCTGCTGAGCAATCCAAGCCGTTCATCAACTGGAAAATGAAATAGCACCTGTGTTTTTCTTTAGCTTTTCTGTAACTGAGCCCATCACTGAATATTTTTCTACAATGGATTCAGTATTTCAGGTGTCATTTCACTGATACAACGAAAACAGTGAAATGTGTACAGTGCTGGGTAAATTCTTCTGACTCAGCATCTCAGCTGTCCTTCATGGTGTTAGTAATTTTCTACCAAATACCATTTGGTCTCCTAAATTAAGAGATCAATCTTAATTTTGTCCACAGATGGGGAAGTTTTGCTATTTCCATTTTGTCTACATGTGCAAAGTTAAAGCAAACTGTAATTTATTTTTTTGTGGACAAAATGAGTTTGGGTTCTTTCACTTTTCTTTTGGCATTCCTTCCTGTTGACAGCATGATTTGCACAAAATTGCATTCTGTTGATAAAAATGTGCTGAAATGTCTTTCAGTTCCATTGACTGATTTGCAGTACGAGGTTTGACAAAATGCATGTTGTCGACAGAATGAAATGGGGTGGGTGGAAGGAAGTTACACTTCAGACATATGGAGTGAGCAGTTATACACTCACTTGATTTGTTAAAAACTCCGCTCAGAGACTATTAGAAAGGATTTTGTGGGATTCAGAGAAGACAATAGTTACTTTGGAAAATCTCATTTGCACAGATACATCTGGCAGTGGGAAAAGGCATAAAGAAAGTTAATGGGTGCAGAATTTGGCCAGAGATCATTGCAAGTGCTGTTATATTTCTTTAGATGTCTTTCTATCCAAATAAATTTCCTCCATTAAGTTTACAGATTTCCTCATTCAGCTTTTAAGGGAATACTTGTACTGGAAACGAATGAGACAGGGAAAAGAAGTATGTTAAAATTTATGAAAACATCTGTTGGAAGTTCTGAGAAAGATGCTTTTGTTTTAATCATCTAAGCAAGATTGATGGATTTTATCAGAGCTAAGTACCAAAGAGTCCCAAATGGGCTCTTTATCCCAAAGGCAAAGCACTTAAGCATATGCCTAATTTTAAGCATCTGAATGATGGCCTCATTGACTCCAGTGGAACACTCAAGTGCTACAAGCTGCATATATTGGATTCTAAGATACTGTGGACTAGTGTTAAAATGATAACCCCAAAAATAATCTTGAGTGTAACCATACACAATTATTACAGCTAAGACCAAGTGGCTTTGGTAAAATAAATCATACTAGGTATAAATAACTTGTTGTGATATGGCCAAATACATTAGGATAGAAAAACAGTCACTGATAACACAAGATAAATATTCATTTATTCAAGATTTACTTGATAAGGCTTAGATGCAATAACACAGAGAGGACCAACCTGGTGGGTAAGCAAAACTTTTGTCCATACTGGTATTGCTTCATTTTATTCAAAGTTGTGCGTTACACAATATATTCATGCTCTAAGTCAATTCTGAAAAGAACTTTAGCACCTTTTTTTTTCCTTAGCTGTTTTCTCACAGCAGCATCCTTTTGTTGAACACCAAGTCTGGCTGTCAGTCAGAGAGGAGGAGGAGAACAGGAGTCAGATCTGTGCTCTCTTTCAAGAGTGGTTCTGTAGGTGTGGTAATGAGCTGTGGCTTCTACTGGGAAATTTGGGTTGTGAATTAAATTGTAGATGGTGCTAAGTTTCCATTGCAATGTCCAGCTCAGTTTTCTTTAAAGGTTGCTATGGGTATCAGAATATGGTGCCAAAACACCTTAAACCACTATTTCAGTCCATTATTCTCATTTCAGGATGTAAATGCCTTGATTCCACTCCCACACTAAAAAATTCCACTGGCAGGAGCTGGATGAGGGGAGTAAACAATAACTCTTCATGTGCACATACTCAGTTCATTTCACCCTGCTGTCAAAACCGATTGCATTTTTCTGTTCAAACAACAAATGTACCAAACCAAGGGAAATGTATGTGCAAAATGTTGCTTATGCAGGGACAAGCTCCATGTGGCTGGATGCTCTGGGGCACTGCAGAAGCTGAGGAGCAAAGTGGGCTGTAGTGTCTTGACTGGAGGAAAGAGGGAGTTCAGCCTGCACTTCGAATTAGAGTAGATGTGGGATTACTCTAATGTCTGTGGTCCTGAAAAAGCTGATTCTTAGGAATCCCATTCTGACCTAGTGTTTAACCTGGAATCTGAGCAAATGAGCTGAGGAAGGACCAAATACGTAAGCTAAGAGCATCTTCGTGGCACCTATTATCTCCTCTGTTCTGATGAGTGGGGCAATATCCTTGATCTTTTCAGACAGGCACTAGTCAGGTGACCAAATGCTATCATGCTTGACTCATTCCACATTTGTACCTGGTGTCTATTGATTCCTGTTTTTAGAAACCCTTAATATACACGCATGTACATGCCCCTTTTGAATGGAAATGCAGTTTAATGGCATTTAACAGTGCAGGAGTCACAGCCACAAACCCAGATGTTTTACAGAAATTTTGGAAATTGCTTTTCTTTTTGGCCATGAAAAAGCCTTTTCTGTTTTGCTTCAATGATGTCATCATTCTTTTAGCTTTTAAACAGTAATTGTCATCCAACTAACCAAGAGCTGGAAGTGTAGACTTGTCTTCAGACCAAGCATACGATGGTGTTGTATGTTATGCTATATGCACATATTTCCCTCTAAAACTGTGTGAGCTTAGGGCTGGCTGTACATATACAGCAAATGTGGGTGCCTGTCTCAGGAAAAGTAGATTGCTATCCATGAACTCATGAAGAAGTCAGCTGGAGGGAGAATGTAATGCAGGTATTACTGCCAAATTCATTTTCTAGAAGGAAAATTGCATGGTAGAAAAAATGATGCACAAAAAAGTTGGATTTTCTAAAGCCATGGAAACAAATAGGAGTGACAGAACTGTAGTGAAATGGAGAACTTAGGTCAAATTACTTCAGAGCACATAAGCTATAAGCTGACAAAAGGAGTCCATCAAACAAAATTCATACCTGAATTTAAAACACAGGCAGACAGAGATGGAGAACACTGGGGTACAGTAACCAAGCACAGAGCTCAGGCTTACCTAACCACAGAAGAGAATAGAGTCTGTCAGAGCATTTTCTAATTCTGTTTCTATTATCTGAGAGTAGAACAGATGACAAATCTGTTAGTTCAGAGTGTTGACACAATACACTTTTATCACTTTTTGTCAACAGAACATAATTGTGTTCAGATTACCCCGTCACAGGGGAATAGCCATAAGATCATGGTGTCCATAAAAATAAATGTCATGTTCTATTTCTGGGAAAACAAGAGAGAAGTAGAAGAAACAATGAAAGTAAAGAAGAACCTTGGACAAACTGTGTTTTTTGGACAGATTTAGTTATACAGATACTGTGATAGAGCAGCTGTTCACTCAGATCTGACACCCTCAGGCCCCTGTGTTAGATGCCAAGCTCTTGTGCTTCTAATGTGTTTCCCTCCCTGCCACCCAATCCCATCAGATCCAAATACTTCAGAGCTCTCTTCCAGCAGTCTTCTGGAAGTGATTCTCACTACGAATTGTGTCAACAGCAGGAATTACAGAAACCCCTCAAGGAGGGAGAGCAATGCTCTGCAGGGCTTGGACATGGTCAGGAAGAGGAGCAGCAAGCCTGATGGCAAAGCTTAGTTGACAGGAGGGTCTCCAGTCTCCCTGACTGCCTTCACTGTTGGACTTTGGGGGTCATCTTGCCCAAACCATGAAGTATGAACCCTCTGAGGAATTGGTAGCTGTGGGACTATCAGCTTCTCCCACACTGGGTGCCCTCTACCCATCGGAAGAAAGTCAAAACTGCAGCCTGCTCTGTTCCCAGAGAAAATTATTCCACCTCAGGCACCCATTTTCTAGATAAAATGCAAAATCAGCTGCAGAAACATGCTGCATTTTTCAAGATTAAGCAAAGCAAGAAATAGTATTTTTTAATAAAGCAGATGAAAACATTTAGTTGGCTTCATTTTAATGGAAATAAAATTCTGTCCATCCATCATCTTTTCTTGCGACACGCTGGAGACAGCTGCAAATGGAAATCTGAGGGCTGAAGGGGTTCCAGGCAGGTAGTGGTGTTTATGCACAGCAGACATATGGGGTTAGTCAGTATGCGAAGGAACCAGCATCACTTTGTGCTTTTGCATGGTCCAACACAAGTGCAGTCTCTCCTGATTTACTGTAGCAATTGCAGCATGAATCACAGCAATGCATTCAGCTTTAAAAATAGAAGCATATTCTTAGGGGGAAGAAACAAACAGAACAACAAAGTTTGCTGTCAAAATCCAAACTCCATCTCCCATGGCCCAAGTTTGCTTTTCTCATAAAGTCATGTCACGTCTCACACTTTCCCATTAGTTTTTGACATGCTACTTTACCAACTGAGAGACCCAGAGGCAACGGGGGTTTTAAGAGCCTTAAAAAAGAAATCATTAATCTCCACTGAGAGTAACGTGCTGCCACATATCACTCAGCATTGCATCAATAGCCTGATAGAGTCAGGAGAGGTGACTGAGAAGGAAACAGGAACTAGCTTGCGATGTTTGATGATGAAAACCAAGATATTTAAAATCTCCAGTGCCCGTTTGCTATGCTGTCTGCTCAGATGCATTCAGTGTGATTACAGCACCCAGACAGAAGAGTGTCATCTTCTGTGCTCTTGGTGCCTCTTTAATGGCAATTTAGAAAATGATCACATAGAGATGGAAACGCTGATTAGTTAACACACACAGTCTTTGTGTATTCTGCTCATGCAAGGCTTTGAACTCCTGGAAGCTGTCATACTGAGAAAATGTCTACCCCATAGGTAGCTATGATTATATTGCTGTATTTATTATTTACTGAGTGACACTGTATGTAAGCTTTGTGCATGACACAGAAGGTCTCCAAGTCTAGAGGGGCAGCTACATCTTAGATGCAGAGAAGGTGCTCATTAAAGCAAGAAGCTACTGGGAGAAAGCATTTGCCATCCTCCTTTAATTGCTGTCAGTGTTGGAAAAGAAGTGTTGATGCCACATCTAAGCCTGTAGCCCAACAGGGCTGCTGTTTTAATTTGAGTTTTCATTCCTGCAGCCCAAAAGAGTCATTTAGACTGAGATCCAGAGTGAGAACTAATCCTGACAGCTTCCCACAGGTTAATTGTGAGCAGGTACCCAAATAGATTGTTCTCTCTATATTACCCAGCCTAATTATCTTCCCTGACCCAGTCTATGTCTCTTTTACAGTAACATCACACAGTGGTGGATCTTGTCTTCTGTGCCGTTCTTCAATTCAACCAGAAGCAATCAAGCTGCTTTGTAAGGGAGCTATTTTTTGATTGCACAACTGGAACATGGTAGGAAGAGTACAAAAAGCACCTAAAAGCCACAAGCCTTGAATAATGAGCAAATCCTAGAGATAAGAAACAGTATGCATTGCTCTATATAGTTCACTGGATGCATGCAGCTATAGCAAGGACTGTAACCCACTGCTTTCATCACGTTGAGGAACTGGAATAGGTTGTCCAGGGAGGTTGTGAATGCTCCATCCTTGGTACTGCTCAAGAACAGGTTGGACGAAGCCTTGAGTGAGATGATTTAGTGTAAGGCGTCCCTGCCCATGTCAGGGGGGTTGGACCTAGATGTTCTTAAGGTCCTTTCCAACCCTAACTGTTCTATTCTATGATTCTCTGACTAGGTCCCTTATCCTGTCCTAGCATCTCAGCACACTCCCAAGTGTTGAACACAAGTTGAACACCAAACTTGGAGATTCACACTGTGATTTGCAGCCAGTTTGGGTTTTGTTTTTGTTTTTTGTTTGTTTGTTTGTTTGTTTGTTTCTCTGCAGTTTCCATTAGCTACAGAGCAAATGGTCTAATTTCCCCTTGATTTGGGTGCTGAGACATTTGCATGAGAGGATGGGAAAATGTCCGTACGCACAGATAGGTAGCCAGAGGAATGCCACTAGTGGTGAGGATTCGGTGAGTAGCTGGGAATTAAACTGATGTTTCAAAGAAGAAGGGGATAAGGTGTCATCTGGTCACAGCTGTTCAGCTGCTTAGATGAGACGCCGAGGGTTTTTCAGGTGGAGCAGGCAGGAGGGAGGCACTGAAACATGTTTTCATCTTTGCTTCTGGAGAGCCTAAATGAGATCACAGTGGAGTAGCAGCAGCAGATGTTCACTCTAACCACTGTGTCAACATCCAAAAAATCGGTATGACAGGTAGGCATCACCCCCTGAGGTATCATATTTGACAAAGTGGCCCTGGAGCAGGTGGATAGCTTCAGATAATTGTTTTTGCTCCATGACGGGTGAGAAGTGTCCCAGCTCTCAGGAGGTGCAGTCAGGACTGGCTGCCATCTGATCCTGATGAATTATGGCTGAGCCTTAGATGTAGCCCTCAGATTGACACGGGACTGAGAAGTCGTTAGGCAGATCATGGCAGCTCAACCGAGAAACATAAAAAGCGTATGAAGTTTTGAGAGTACAAGAGTATAACTGGTATATATTGAGAAAAAAAGCAACATTCCCCATCTCTTGCTTTGCTACTTAAAAAGGGGAAACTTTCCTTTTAAGTTGTGAAACAAACATCCCTGACTTTCCATTAAGTTTGGCTTACTGGAAATTTTTAAAGAAAACTTTAGCTCAAAGTAGCTGAATGCATGTGCGTATGTATAATCACTGGTGCCAAGGGCTAAAATGCAGCACTTTGTAAAAATTTAGGGGCTTTAAAAATAAGACATCAACATCTCTCTCCAATTTCAGTCACCATTGTGCTTCTCACCTAATTTCCCTCTTTATTATAAAAGACTGATTAGTAGTGCCCTCCTGGTATGAAGTGCAGCTTCTCTTTATGAAGGCTCCAGTATAAAATAAATGTAAATGGGGAGAGAGAAGAAACTAATGTATGATTCTGCTTGACACCTTGGCTAGTAATACGAATGTCAACACAGCCACAGTTCAGTGAGACACTTACGTATGTGCTTATATTTAAGCATGCGTTTAAGTCTGTTTGGATTCAGCTTCCTGCCAAAGACATACTTCACTTGTGGGACATATGTGACTTAAGAATATGTTAAGTGTTTCAGTGATTTGGTACCAGACCAATAAATGCCCTTCACAAGTAGCTGACTAAGTATGTGCAGTAATTTCTCAGATAAAGGGTGTTCACAACTGTACCATTTGGTTGCTGTGCTATCAGCCCTGCTGATCTCAGAAGTGTTCATTGTTTGAAGGACACGGAGGGATATAAGGAGACTCTGATAATCTGCTTCTGTTTTTATCTACTTTGTCTTTACTTTGTGAACCCTGGCTAGCTTGCTTAGGTATCTAAGAAAAACAGCAAATCTGCACTGCCAGTTTGTGAGTTATGGATGGGATGAAGTGTTCTTACATGATGGGATCCAGTGCTGGACAAGCATGCTGTGGTGGAATGGAGGGAAACATGAGGTAGACATGTCAAACAAGCGTGTGAGCATCTCCAGATGTGGTCTGGCATTTTAGTAACGATCTTTCCAATGAAGATGTCAAGGAACACCTTAGGTTTTCTATGGATTATGACTGTGGTGCTCTGGAAGGAAAGAAACATAAGACTTGCCTTTGGTGCAGAAAAGAGAACTGATGTTCTGGAGCCATTCCCAAGGATTCAAGGAAAACTTTGGAAAATTACAGAACTGAGTGGAATCTTAAAGTTTTGCAAATTACATTGCTTTGTGGAAGTTAGCTCAAGCTGTGCTTTTTGCATCTTTTTTCTTTCCTAGTGACTATGTGAGCAGCCTCAGTTTTATGTATGCAAAAGGACTTGATGGGCAGCTGTAGGTGGTCCTGATGCTTGTTAAACATGACAGTTGAATGTCTGGATGCACAGTAAATGGGCGCAGTTCATCTTAGCCTTTAGAAAGCTAATTGGCCACTAAGCTTTTGAAGGGTCAAATACATTAGTATCTAGCTCCACTCTGAACAACTGTGGTTAGGAGCAAGTTTGATTAGCATGCCTCTTCACTGTCTTCCACTTCTGATATACACTTACAAATGACCTTTTGCTGTAGTGTGTGTGTGAAATGGATAGAGAAAGACACAATCCCTATAAATAGCTTGAGTTAAAGGCTGTACTTCAAACAAAGTGCATAATGGTTTTCAAATAAACAATTAGGGCTAGATTTGTGGTTCTGCATTTTAGTTAGAGTCTGAAGCAGATGAAAAGCATCAGATTTGATTCTTAACCTTTCTTTCAGCTCAAACACAAGCCATAGACAAATTTCAACACAAGTGCATGTGTATCCAGGCTTGCTCAGTCTGTCAATGGCTGAAAATCCACCAGGATTACATTTTCAGGATTTATACTTTACAATTACAGACTCTCTTGCTAAATGATGTGTCACTGATTAATTCTGTAGTTTCAGAAATGTATGTTTTGGGGTACTCCCCTGTCTTAACAGAACAGACCCCAGTAATAATGCTAGGTGAAATAATTTACCTGTATGTTTTCTGAAAAGATGGTGGAATATCTGAATTGGCTCCAGCAATGCTGGTTATTCTAATTGTTTCAATTTGGAAAACCATTTCTTGCAGCCTGGTTGCAACTATATGAATTGCTGCCTTGAGCTTGCCCCAGAACTTAGATGCTTATTTATTATTTAAATATAAGCTGAGAGTGGGAAACCCTTAAAATTGCCCAAAGCTCTCCTCTGAAAATAAAGATCCATTAGTTCATCCTTGATAAATTATTCTTAATTGTTTCCCCCAAGTGAAATCAGATTTCTAATTTCTTTCTCCTTGAGTTTCCTTCTTGGCTTTCTTTGACCCTGGGTGCTGCATTTTTGTTGCGTTTCGCCAGTGACATTCAAGTGTTAAAGCCAAACTTTGTGAAGCCATGCGAAGGGCAATGTCGGTTCCTGATGTAATTCACAGAGTAGCCTGGAATAACCCCCATCCACTCATAGTGACTTCTGTTTGTTTTGGCCAGTGCCTAGAACTCCGTTTTTCCCCTCTATCTGGAAGCTATCTTGCATATCCTCCCTGTTTATGATCATACTCGCCTCTGACGTTTCCTCTTTAGAATCGTTATCCGTGTTCTGGATTAGACATAAACCCAAGGTCCTGAATGCTCTTAGTCATTGAAGATCTGATGGTACTTCTCACAAAAGGAGATGACTAACCTCCATGTCCTGGCCACAGGCCAACTTGGCTAATTGCGCTCTG